GAATAGAATAGAATAGAATAGAATAGAATAGAATAGAATAGAATAGATTTTTTTATTGGCCAAGTGTAATTGGACACACGAGGAAGTTGTCTTGGTGCAAATGCTCGCAGTGTACATAAAAGAAAAGATATAAGCCAATTCAGATGAGCTTGTAAGAAACAAGAAAATGAGGAGATTGGACAGCCTTCTTCCTCCTTCCCCCCACTGAAAAAGCTCCCTTTGCCCTTCCAGCTTTATTCTGATTCAATCCCTCGTGTATGAGAAAGGAACATTGGGTGGTTCCCTTTTTGTCCACTGGAGGGTGAAAGTTTCTGCTAGGCTTCCAGAGGAGGCTGCAAAGAGGAGACCTTGCCATTCTAGAACACATAACTCGCTCTCCTTAACTCTTGGAGCTCTGCCGACAGGGGAAAAGGCTGCAGGAGAGACTTGCAGGGGAGAGATCCAGACGTGAGGCCGGGTAGGGGCTCTTCCCAGGCAAAGGGAAGCTGAGGAGGGAGAGAGATACATGCCCAGCCCTCCTCCTTGTTCAATCCCGTGTGTATGATGGAGGAAGCCACCAGGCGCTCAAAAATTCAACCTTGGGACTCCAGGAGCCTCCAATACCAGGAGGCTGAGGGTCCTCATGGGCTTTGCAGCCAACTCCACAACTTTTGTAGGCGATGGCTGAGTCCAGAAAAGCACACCAAAGCCCAGATGCTGGACCTGGTTGTTCTGGAGCAGCTCCTGTTCCTTCTGCCCCCAGAGATGGAGAGTTGGGTGCGGGAATGTGGAGCAGAGACCAGCTCCCAGGCAGTGGCCCTGGCAGAAGGCTTCCTCCTGAGCCAGGCGGAGGAGCAGAAGGAGCAGGTTGAGTTGGAGGTGAGGCACTTTATGGAGCTCAAAAGGGAATGGAGAATGTGTTTGAATACTTCACCCCTCCCTCTCAAACTTCTTTAACATTTACAATATGTGGCGATGTCCCACCAATTCTTGTAGGACACTTATTTATTTTATTTATTTGGTTTGTCAATTGCTTACAAGATAATAGGTATAAATAAAAACATAGTTATGAATACATGGATGCATAAAAGAAATAAAAGAAACAATAGGACAGGAATGGTAGGCATGTTGGTGTGCTTATGCACGCCCCCTACAGACCTCTTAGGAAAGGAGTGAGGTCAATAGTAGACAGTCTAAGGTTAAAGTTTTCAGGGTTTGGGGAAGAAACCACGGAGTCAAGTAGAGTATTCCAGACATTGACCACTCTGTGGCTGAAGTCGTATTTTCTGCGGTCAAGTTTGGTGTGGTTAACCTTGACTTTGTATCTATTGTTTGCTCTTGTATTGTTATGGTTGAAGCTGAAGTATTCATTTACAGGTAGGACATTTCAATGTATGATTTTATATACTATACTTAGATCGACCACAAGGGATGGGTATTGAGGTCTTTGAGGTTGAGTTCCGAAATAAGAATACACTTTATTTTGTGTTATGTACATAAATTCTGCTTCTTTTTTCCTTCCTTGTATTGGAAGTGTTGCACTGTGGAGATCAGAGATTGTGAGGGAAAGAAGAATCCATCAAATCCCCTTCAGGAGCTATTTTTCAGGAGGATCCCTTGGGAAGACCCAAGTCAGGACACTGCAGGAGGTAACAGAAGATCCTCTGATTACCCAGAGAGATCACATCTGTCTTATCTTATCTTCTGTAATATACCTCTTCTTATTCTTTTAAATATGCATTTTGAAATTATTTATTCCTTACAGAAATACAAAGAATGAAGTTTTCTGGTTTTTCTGATGGAGCTCAAAGAGTGGTTGAACCTCCAAATCAAGTAAGAAAGGGAAAACTTTTTAGATTTGTATTCTCCCTTCAGGAATTGAAGGAAATGTGCAGAGTGCTGTCTCCTATTTTCCCTCCTTGTTTGGACTGGATTTGCATCTCAATTAGCAGATCAAACATTCTCACTTTGCAAAGGCTGAGAAATGACCTTCACAGAGAATTTTCTCTTCTTTGTTTTCCCCCATTCAGCCAATGGCTCAGACTAATAGATCTACATAAATGATAAAGTGATAGATCAGTTGATCCAGAGTGGGATTTTTTTTTTTTACTGAAAAACACTGAAAGTTCTACAAAATCAATCAACTTGATAAAAAAACCGCCCCAAATATTTCTTCAGTCAAATTTTCAGAATTGCCCATTTTCTCATCTAAAATAAGCACTTGTATAAAGCATAGCCATTTAGTGCATGTCTTTGCTTTGGGAATTGGGGAACAATGGAACAGAACACCAGAGTTGGTAGGGATCTTGGAGGTCTTCTAGTCCAGGGGTCCCCAACCACTGGTCCGTGGACCGGTACCGGTCCGTGGAACAATTTCTACCAGGCCGCCAGTTTGCTGGGCACCGCCAACTTGTTTTAATGAAAAAGTGCTTCCAGTGAGCTTTTCCGGGTAGAAAGCAGCATTTGGGTGCTGAAAGAATCCTCGCGCCTTAATTTCATCGAGGGGGGGGGGCGGCTTCAAACAAAACTAAGGCGCAAGGATTCTTTCAGCATGCATGGCAAGGTGAGCCAAGCGACTGTCCCGAAGCCATTGCGAAGCCCATCGACACAGGTACAAAGGAGGAGCTGAAGGTGGCGGGGACAAGCGGGGGATGGCTGGCTGGCCGGTTGCTCGGCTCACCTTGCCATACGTGCTGATGCTGGTACTGGGCCGCAGATGATTTTGTGATGCCGGTACCGGGCCGAGGCACAAAAAAGGTTGGGGACCAATGTTCTAGTCCAACCCCTTGCTCAGACAGGAAATCCTATAACATTTCAGATAAATAGTTGTCCAATTTCTTCTTAAACACCTCCAGTGTTGGAGCACCCACAATTTCTGGAGGAAAATCATTCCATTGATTAATTGTTCTCATTGTCAGGAAATTTCTATTTTGTTGTAGGTTGGTTCTCTCCTGAGAACATAGAACAGAATAGAATAACAGAGTTGGAAGGGACCTTGGAGGTCTTCTTGTCCAACCCCCTGCCTAAGCAGGAAACCCTACACCACTTCAGAGAAATGGTTAGCCAACATCTTTTTAAAAACTTCCAGTGTTGGAGCATTTACAACTTCTGGAGGCACTGATTAATTGTTCTAATTGTCAGGAAATTTCTCCTTGGTTCTAAGTTGCTTCTCTCCTTCCAACCATTGCTTCTTGTCCTGCCCTCCAGTGCTTTGGAGAATAGCTTAACTCCCTCTTCTTTGTGGAACCCCCTGAGATATTGGAACATTGCTATCATGTCTCCCCTAGTCCTTCTTTTCATTAAACTAGACATACCCAGTTCCTGCAACCATTCTTTATATGTTTTAGCTTCCAATCTCATAATCATCTTTGTTGCTCTTCTCTGCACTCTTTCTAGAGTCTCACCATCTTTTTTACATCGTGGTGACCAAAACTGAACACAGTATTCCAAATGTGGCCTTATCAAGACATTATAAAGTGGATTAACACTCCATGGATAGTTTCCATCCATTGCTTCTTGGAACATACTATCATGTCACCCCCTAATCCTTGTTTTCATTAAACTAGACATACTCACTTCCAACAACCGTTCTATGTTTCAGCATTCAGTCCACTAATAACATTTGTTGTTCTTCTCTGCACTCTTTCTAGAGTCTCAAGATTTTTTTTACATATGGCAACCAAAACTGGATACAATATTCCAAGTGTGGTCTTAACAAGGCATTATAAAGTGGTACTAACACTTCATGTCATCTTGATTTTAAACCCCTCTTAATGCAGCCTATGGTTGTGTTGGTTTTTTGGGGGAACTGTAGCATACTGCTGACTCATGTTTAAGGGATTGTCTACTAGGACTCCAAGATCCCTGTTGCACTTACTACCGTTGAGGCAGGTATCACCTATTCTGTGCCTGTGCATTTGGTTTTTCTTTCCTAAATGTAGAACCTTACATTTCTCACTGTTAATTTCACTTTGTTAGATGGGACCCAATCTGTCAATCCTTCTATATCTCCACCTTATCTTCTGTAGAGTTGGTATTCCTGTCAATTTGGTTTTGACTGCAACTTTGATGAATTCCCCTTCTATTCTCTTGTCTGAATTATTGATGAAGATGAACAGATCTTGTGAATCATCCTATTCTGTTCTTGTTTTCCGTGTTCAGGAGAATCTTGTGTCCTTCGAGGAGGTGGCTGTGTATTTCTCTGAGGAGGAATGGTCTCAGTTGGATTCTGACCAAAAAGAGCTGTATTCGGAAGTCATGCTTGAAAACCATAGGAACGTGGTCTCTCTGGGTAAGAGTTTTCTAGTCCCCAATCAGAGAGTTCAAGACTGTCCTGACAGTTTTTAATTTTAAAAAAAACACTAATCAGATATCATCTCCTGGGAGGAAGAAGGATAGGATCTGACCTTCTCATACTCCAAGAAAGGAAAGTGTCAATGTCTCATTGCTTAGATGCTTTGTGTGCCATTTCTTATCTGTATTTTTCCATTTCTATTTGAACATATCTGTGTAGGCTGAAAAGAACGAGATGTGCTTTTATGTGTCCTCTGGAGGTCATGTGAGAGGAGTGTGTTTTCATTTGTCCTCTGAAACCTCCCCAAATTATGTGAAAACAGACCTTTCATGCTCAGGCCATGGAAGAACATTCTCCCAATCCAATTCATGAACGAAGGCCTCATGCAGTGTGACTCAAGAGCCTCCTAGGGTACAGCTCATCCCCAAATTACATTTCACTAAGCGACCATTCCAAGTTACAACCTAGCCCTCCCCCAAGCCCTGAAATTACAAATGTTACAGCATCGCAGCTGTCATTCACACTTACGAATGACAGCCGACATGCTGCAACAACATTCATCCTGCCTATACTCTCACCCCATCCTTCCAGAACTTACCTTATGATGATATAGGTAGGCATTGGTTCCTTTGCCTGGTTTGGTGCATTTCCAGAAAATAGAAGCCTAAAGTAGTGAGAGATACACGAGATCAGTAACACAAAATCTTATACTACTGATCTCACGTGATCTTATAGTAGTTTAGGCCTCTGTTCTGTGCTAACCAAGTCCTGCTTGAGATCCAGGGCAAAATGCTTTTTAAACAGAGGAAAGGCCTCTTTGTTTTCAAGGACTTTTGCCCCAGATCCCATGCAGTCCTCAGTTCATAAAGAACACAGGCCTAAAGCCACTGCAGTGCAAGATTTCGTGAGATTAGTACCCTGAGATCTTGCACTGCTGGTCTTGTGTGATCTGACACTAAAGTAGTTTAGGCCTCCGATTTCTTTGAACTGAAGCCTGCAC